AGTATATAATTTTCCTTTAATATAATATAAATCATAAAATAATAAATCAGCCTTCTGAAACATGAAATCAAGATTCTCATCTCTTCCCTCATCCTGAGACCCCTGCAAACACCACCACATTCAGTGACCCTGAGTGAAGAACATTCCCACATGGGGTTGCCAGGTAAATTCCTGTCAGGAATGTGACACAGCTCCCTTGCATCATTTTCCCTGCCATCTGTGCAGTGCTGCCATGGGTTCTGGAGTCCCCTTGTGGCTTCTGCTTCCCCTGAGTCCCTGTCACCATCCGTCCTTACGAACGGGATTCGTGATGATTTGTGGGTTTGATCTCAGGGTGCAAAAAGACCAACACAGCATAGGGGGCTTGCAGTAATAATCAAAACAAATGCACCTTTATTGAGTGACCATAGCAAAATGCAATAGAGGGATTAAGGGAGAGAAAAAGAGAGAGAAAGAGGGGGATATAGCTACCAAATGTAGAGACCAAGGCCTTTGGTCCAGTACAGTCAAGGAGATCTCAAAATCTCTAGCAAACTCAGAGGTTTTTATTATGATAACTCTATTGGAAATTGTGAGGAGGAAGGGAACAGATACAATAAGGAATGGATGTAACAGGAAGTCTGTGTTCTCAGCAGTAAGCAAGAGCCACTGTCTTCTTGTGCAGTGGTCACAGCTGCAGGCAAAGATCCAGGTTTGGTCAGCTTGCCTCCCCCACACACCTCCCCTGGATTGGGGGTTTCAGTCCCAGTCCTTGGAAGGAGCAGAGGGGCCCTTTCACACAGGGGCTGGAGAAGCTTCTGACATCTCAGTCAGTCTGTCATGGTGCTGTAAAACAGGTGAGGGTCTGTGTGGGGGATCACCTGAAACTCAGGAGAGGTCCAGCCAGGCTGAGAGGTGGGACAGCTCCCAGGGCTGTTGTTGCAAAAAGGGCATGATGCTCCTTCTCACTGGGCTCAGTGTAGAACACACCTGTGAACAATAATTTAGCCCCGTGGCATGTGCAGCTTTCTCCCACAGAAAAAACAGGAGGGGGCTTCTCTTCAGTGCCCTCAAATGAGGGAAAGCTGGGCCAGGCTCTCACAGTGCCCCTGTGCGTTTCCTCACAGCACGAGGCGTGCAACCACGGGCACAGCGAGGTGGTGCAGCTGCTGCTGCGGCACCGGGCGCTGGTGAACACCACGGGCTACCAGAACGACTCGCCGCTGCACGACGCCGCCAGGAACGGCCACCTGGCCGTGGTGGAGCTGCTGCTGCTGCACGGCGCCTCCCGCCACGCCGTGTGAGTACCGACCCTGCACCCGGGCCCTTCTGCCTTTAGCCCCGGCTGCAGCGCCCTCTGCGGGTGGTAGAGAATGTGAAGCACTGCTTTGTGGGTGTTGCCTTTCCTTTTGGCTTTGTCCTAAGCTTTTCTGAGGATTGCCTGAGTCCTAGATAGCTGGAGTACCCGAGAGGAAAGTAACAACATATGCTCACCCTAATCTTACACTTTCCTGTTGGCATCTTGTTATAGCTGCTGTCAGCTCTAAGATGCTGAGCTAGATGAGTTTTGAACTGCTACAGCTGGTTTTTGTCTCTGTACTTTTACTACACTACTTGCTAGCAGAAGGCATTTTGCTCCAGTCTTCTGTTTTCACAAATGACATAGAGGCTGAGATTGGAGCGTTTTCACTTTTGCCTTTCTGGATCAAAGCACTAATCCTTGGTACACCTTTTAATTAAAAAACAAAACAAAAAACTAAGTAATATTTTCAGTTGACTCTTCTATACAGTGAAGTCTCCTGAAGATTTTGGCATTTGTGTAGTGGAGGTGGTAAAGAATGTTTCAGTGTATGGATAACCCCTGTTAGCATTCCAGGCACTAATATAATTTTAGGGGTTGTACTGTTGTTGTGCCAGGGCCTGTGTGTATAAATTTGAGTCCAGTGCAAATTGTCAATAGGTGTGTGTGTATAAAAACACAACAGGATGAAGTTTTTGTGGCAGCCATATGAAGAAGTATAAACAAGTTCACCTTAATCACTTCAGCTCTCAACATTCACACTCTTGAAGCTTAGAGAATTAAGGTGCTTTGTGGGAAAGCATAGGTTTTTCATAAACCTAAACTTGAATATATTAAAGTTTAAAAAACAGCAAGACAAAGGCAAAACAAAGCAACAAGCCTTTTGACTCAAGAGCATGAAAAAGTAAAACAAAGATCAGTTGTTCATCTTCACTTTGTTTTTGAGCAGTGAGGACTGGGGCACCTGGAAAAGATGACAGCTTCAGAGATTTTCAGAGATTTTTCTCTCCTTGAATACGAGGAGCTGGTTGTGTCACACCTAGCACGTGTGTGTCTGCTGTTTGAAAGCACAGCCAGCGTTGCTGTGAGGTTGTGGCAGGGTTTCAGCTCTGCTGGCTTTGCTCAGCCCAGGCTCCAGGTGCCAGCCATGGACTCTGCAGGGCTCCTGTGAGCTCTGCTGCATGTGCTCCCACAAACAGAGGCCAAGCTGAACCTCTTTCAGCTCACCCTACATGAGCAAACATGACTCTGTTGAAACAGAAGCTTTTAAATCAGGGAAGGGGAGATTTATGTAAACCTTAAGCCCTGCTTTAACTTTTCACTGAATGCAGATAACGTTCAGTTAAAATCTCTGAGAACAAATGTAGCTGCCATTAATCTTTGTGTGATTTGTCTGGGTGCTGTGGCACAAATTCAGTCCTGTCCATCCTTCCTGGAGTAACTTGAGGCTTCCAGATCTTCTGTAGGCTCTCTGGCTGAAATGCCACTGTGTGTGTTGCATGGAAAAGGGGTTGGGGTTTCCCCTCCCCTATTTTTACACACAGCATTAGAGCCACAGAGTGACAGATGCACAAGCCAAGTTTTCAGGCTTGCTCTGCTCACCTCTTCCAAACACTGTCAAGAAACAGCAGAAACAAGAACAGTGTGGCTGAGGTTCCTGGGAATGCCTCGTGCCTCCCTTCCCTCCTGTGCTCCCATAGCTGCCAGCAGTGAGTGGTGCAGTGATCTTCCCCTGGATCATGACTTTGCAAGTCTCACAGGGTGTTTTGCATCCTCTGCCAGTTGTAGTCCTAATGAGGCAGTGGCTGGATTTGGCTAGGTAAGTGGAACATTCTTGTATCTAGAAGATTTAGTTAATTCTTTTTTCCTAGTGGATGCAGGTATCCTTATAATGGAGTCACATCTGACAAGAAACTTGTTTTTCTTCAGTGACTTTTTTTTTCCTAGATCTCAGAAACCAGCAGGCCACAGTTCTGAAAACAGGAGATGAGAACAGGCTGATCACTTCAAATGGTGCAATTACAGTTCATTTCATTATGGCTAGTTATAATTGGTCTCTTTGTACTTAATGCTCACCCTCACATTATTATTTTAAGTTCTTTACAGTAGAAATTTAAGCAGTGATGAGTAGAGTTTGCATCTCCAAGGTGTATTTTCTTGAGGAGTGCCTTAACTTTAGGGGTGTGCAGTGTGTGAGCTAAAATGACACCAAACCAATTTTGTCAAACGGATAAATTGGTCTAATTTTAGTTCACTTTTTTTTTCTTTGGTGTATAAACCCCTTTCTAGTCCTTTTGTAGGCTCTGCAGGCTCACAGTGAATTAACTTTCAGCCAAGGAGAGGTCTCTCCTTAATGTGGTGGGATAAAGTGATTCTTCTTTATCTCACAGGAGCGGGGAGGAAAGTTTGATTAGTTCACTGTGGTTACTGAAGTGTTTTACTTTAGCTAAACTAAGTAAAATGTGAACATGACAAATGCATTTAAATGTTACTTGGGACACCATGAAATATATAGCATGAAACCTCACAGGGGTGACTGATGTCTTGCTGCTGTCTTAACAGTAGAATTAACTCAGTTTGGTGTCTTAATGTCCCTTGGGTGTTGAAGAGTTAATCTACTGGAACAAAAATAGAGCTTGCATCCAACAGCCTGCTTTGAGCAGTAGTTTGGAAATTGAGCATGATACTCAGTTGTGCCAGGTGAAATGGATTTTAAAGGTGTGCAGGAATGGCTGACAGCAGCTCCAAAGGCAGGTGAGACACACTGCTCTGTGGAGGGGTGTGGGATTTATCTGGGAAACCTCAGTGGGTGAGGTACAGCCCTATCCAGAGAGCTGAGACTTTGCCCTTTCAGATTTAATGTCAGATATTCACAAACCCATCCAGTGGGCACATTCCAAGGGCCTTTCAGGCTGTTTTTCTCCTTTGATAATAACTTGTGCATTAAGAAATAGCTCTATGTAACAGGAAGCAGCCACGTATCTTTTGGACTAGGTGAGAACAGATGAGGGCTTTCTCTTTTGCCAGAAATTAATCCTGGGATTTCTTACTCCTTGGCAAAATTTCTTTTGGAAATCTGTGAGATTTGAGATTAAATAGTTGTGGCACTTCACTTGTCCACAACTGACTGGGAGAGACACAAACTACAAATGAAAAGTATTATATGGACCAGTGGACCAATTTAAAAGTGTGCAGGAATGACTGACAGCAGCTCCAAAGGCAGGTGAGACACACTGCTCTGTGGAGGGATGTAGGATTTATCTGGAAGAGGCTACAGCTGCTTCCTCAGAGACCTCGGTGGGTGAGGTACAGCCCTATCCAGAGAGCTGAGACTTTGCCCTTTCAGATTTAATGTCAGATATTCACAAACCCATCCAGTGGGCACATTCCAAGGGCCTTTCAGGCTGTGTTTTTCTCCTTGGATATTTAACTTGTAGTGCATTAAGAAATAGCTCTGTATAACAGGAAGCAGCCACGTATCTTTTTGGACCAAGTGAGAACAGATGAGGGCTTCCTCTTTTGCCAGAAATCAATCCTGGGATTTCCTTATTCCTTGGCAAAATTTCTTTTTTGAAGTCTATGAAATTTAATAGTCATGGCACTTCAGTTGTCCACAACTTCATTGAAGTTTTCACTGTCTGGGAGAGACACAAACTACAAATGAAAAATATTATATGGACCAGTGGACCTATTAATTGTCCTACTGGTCCTGTTAATTTTTTTACATTAATCTCCTACACATAACTAATTTTTATTTTTATGGCTTTTTTCAACATGCTTGAATTCTTCTTTCTTTGCTTCACAGCAAGCCAAGTGATTTGAAAAATTAGATCTGTGCATTTGCAATTTCACAGTACTTCCTAAATGCTTTCACTCAAATGGGCTGTCTTTCCAGTTCTTCATGCACACTAAGTTTAGCAATAGCAGAAACTGTCAGCTTGCTCTGGGTTTTTAGGTGTAGTGCTTGTGAGTCTGACTGAACAAACCTGTGGGAATGCTAGGGGGAATGCCATTCATCAATTATGAATGGCACAGGGACAAAAATGATTATAACCTGCAGTCATTCCAGGAGGCATTAAACCCATGGCACTGATACCATTTTGTCTTATTCTGAGTCAGGATAGTGCAGGTCTTTGCTGCCCAAGTGCAAGACAGGGTGTTGAGCTTCCTGCTGACAGTGGGTTAATTAAATTCCTGGCTCTGTTTGGATATCTCAGATGATATTTCTGGCTACACAGATGAGGTTTTCTTCCCTCTGTCAGGTTCAGGAAAGGTTTCTATTTAGCACATTCTCAAAATCCAGGTGCTGCCTGGAGAGCCAGTCAGATTTCCACATGTGGAGTTAGTGGGCAGGGCACTGAGACCTGGCTGCAGGATTTCCATTCAGTTCCACTTCTGTGGGGCTGGGGCAGAACTTGGTTTGTGGAGCAGCTTAAAAGCCCTGATTACAAAGAATTACCAAGTCTTATGTCATTTCATGGAAAGTCACACTCAGATTTGGTTGTGTTGCTCCTCACTGGGCTCCTCTTTGTTCTCAGCACAGCCATCCTGCTGTGGGATTGGATTTGTTCCAGCTATAACAGCCCCCTACTGACTATTCAGTACCTTGATGACTGGCTAACAGGAGGCTGCTTGCACCCAAACGTACACTTGACTCTGGAATGCTTAAAAAAACCTTCTAGAAAGGCCACTTGCCTTCTGGTAGAAAGAAGGAAGCCTTGGGGACCTTGTATTCCAGCTTAGGCTCACTAATTTCTCTCCAGTTGTGTCTTCCTGCTGAGTGTGGAACTCATCATGTGCACTGGAGCCATTCCCAACAACCCCAGATTTGCTCCCAGGAGGAGCACACACAGTTATTGGTATTTCTGAAAACACTGTTTGTGTGTTAGGGTGGATGCAATGTGGATGCAATGTCTGATTTGGTTTTGAATATTGGGTAACAATTCATCTTAGAACAAGGTGGATGATTTCCCTTGTTCAGATGGGTTGGATCAAGATGGATGTGAGCACCATTTCCCTAAAGCTTCTGCTCCCCATTCCCCTGCCTTACTAAAAAAGTACAAATGTAGTTTTCATCCTTTCTCTTTGAAAAGTAATTTACAACACTATCCTCCTTGAAAATCTGTTGATAGGATGTGTTCCTTGTATTGGTTTTGATTATGTAAACCCTCTTTTCTCCTGTTTCAGCTACATTTTCACACTCTCTTTAAGCTCAACAATCTGTTTAGTTGCAAATATTCTAAAGTCCTAAACCATTTCTTGTGTTGGTGTTCCTTTTTCAGACCTCAGCTCTAAAACTTGTCACAATTTAACTATGCCACCTTAACATGCAGTAAATAACCCTTCATTCTTCAATGCTGAATAACGATGGGACAGCATGTCACAACACTCTAGTGTAAGAAGCAACTAAAACAAGCTTAAAACTGTAGCAGAAAATTGTAAGTGAATACAGAAGGAGGAGCTGGAGCTTGTGTTTGTACAGTTCAATTGGCAAAAATGTTCTGTATTTAACTGGGATGGTCTATGTCTTTTTAATGGTAAACATTGATGAGGTTTTTCTTTCTATGGTAAACATTGATGAGGTTTTCCCAACAGTCAAGAGCCGTACTGTGCTTTTGGAGGGAAAAGCACTCCCAAATCTGTGCTAGTGACATGCAGGGATTCCTCCCTCTGCTTAGCTCACAGTGGAAGGTCAGCCAGCTAGTCCAAAGGTGATTTGGGGGTGTTTGATGATATTTATATGCATTTCTCCCCCTGTCTGGATGCATTGTTCAAAGGAGCTTTATCTTGCAGCAGTTAGAGTTGAATATTGGCCTTATTTAAGGAAAGGGCAAGAGCTACCCTGATGATGCATGACAAAGCAGGAACAGCATGACAATATTTAATGGGCTGCAACTCCCAGGCCTGGGCAGAGATTGAACCAATTATCTTTCAGTCTGCACAGTTTCTATGATGCCTGCACTGTGCTCATTAGTAGCACAGAAGAGCTTGGGGTTGGTGTTAGTGTAAAACACCATCCTGGGCTCTTCTGGGGGGGATTTTTGTGGATTTTGTTTTCCCCAGGGGCTGTGTTAGTGAGCAGGGCTACAGAAGGGTGCTAAGGTCACACTTTCAGCTCAGCGCTGGCCAAAGCCTCCTAGTTAAGTCAGAGTGGAGACTTTAATAATTTGAGCTGCTCTTTGGGCTGGATTGGGTTATGGCCTTCTGTGGAATTCCCTGTAAAGCTTCCTGGATTCCTGCTGCACAGAAATGTGTGGCCAAGAGAGAGCTCTTCAAAGCTGCAGTGGTCCTGTGACCTCTCTAAATGTTTCATTGTTTGATGACTGAGCTTGCCAGGTTTCAGACACTGAGTCAGGGCTTTGTTCTCATGACAAGCTTCCCCTCCCTAATGAGCTCTCATTGTGCCTTTGGAGAGCCAGAGCTGTGTGAGATGGGCAGCAGAGGATCAGCTGCAGCAGCCATGATTCTCACAAAGGGCAAAGCAAGCAGAATATTTCCCCAGAGTGCTGGCAGAGGCTCCTGTTTGCTAATGGCAATGATACCTGTTCTGCAGTTTCAGGCTTTCCTCCCCTCACTGCTGTCCTGCAGCAGCAAAGTTGTGTGGAGAAGAAATTGAAGCCATGGCTGAGTTTGATGTGTTTATAGCAATCACCTCTGTCTGAGGAGTGCTAAAAGAGGAAATCAGTCTGCAAGCACAGCTAATAACTATGAGGTGCCACCTGCAATCAATAGCTTTGAACAGAATTGGCAAACCAACTAAAATCTGACTGAGTTGGCTCTGATGTGTTCTGTGGAACAGTACACTGAGGGAAAATGAGATGCACACTCAGAGTCTGGAAGTGCAAGGGAGCTGTGGTTCCCCCAAGTAGGAAGCAGATAGCTTTTCCCATAAAAGCACTACCACATCAAGCTCCCATGTTTAATACACTGTGGAGAGTCTTCTGACACGTCTTTTATGGCAAATGGATAAGCCAGAAATACATTTCTTGGTTCTATGACTGCAATGAAAGATTAAAGCTGAAATTTCTGGGTCTTGCAAATGATATCAAAGTGCATCTTGAGACAGTTTAACAGGGGCTGTGGTTTATTTAACTGAACATTCTGCTCTGAGCATCCCTTACTCCTCAGCCGAATGCAACAGCTTGTAATTCAGTATCCATCTGTCTTGGATGCAATTCTTACTTGAAGCTTTGTGCTTTTAGCTGAAATTACATATTAATAAGAAAGTGGGAGGGAAAGCTACCCAGCTAATATGCCTGGTTAGTTAAGAATCAAGTCACATTTTATTTACTTAAACCCATCTGTGCTTGTTTTGCCAGTAATATATTTGGTCTGCGGCCTGTGGACTATGCAGAAAGCAAAAAGATGAAATCTCTGCTCATGTTACCAGTGGAGAATGAATCATTTTCACTCACCCAGCCCTCTGAGGTAAATGTCTGCGTGGGTTTGTTTTTGTGTTTTGCTTTTTAACAGAACAACAAGCCGTGAGTTCTTCCTTTAAACATTGAAGGCTGGGATGTGAGTACAGTACATCACCTCCTTACAGGGAGGTTTAAAATAGGTTGGGAGCTGTCTTGGACAGTGTTTCTAGGATGTGTGTGGAACACTGACAAGCTATGAAGTTCTGTGTTACAGCTTTGTGTGGGAAGACAAAAGATGTTTCTTGTCATGTGGTTTTATTACAGGAGAACGAGCCTGTGTTATTCCTCAAGTATCAGTGCTTGAACTTTGCTGTTGATGTTGTTTTTCTGCATATCTAAATTGGTGCTGCTTCCCAAACTGCCTGCAGACAGCAGCGGCCTTTGTTCCAGGTGCTTTTTGTGGGCCTTTAAAAGGCTGTTCCACTGTCATCCTTTGTCCAGCAATGGAAATATCAGCTCAGCAGTAGAAAATAGCTTTTGAGAGGTTGTGCTGGGGTTTTTGTTTTTCTCCTCCTTTGGACAAAGGCTGCCCAGGACTTGTAACCAGAATCAGGTGCTCAGACCTAACAAATGGCTGCATTATGAAATGCTTTGTGCTTCCCAATGGAGGAGCATTAAGCTGACCTGGCTGATAGAAACAGCCCATATCTACTCCAGCCTGCAAAGATCCCTCCTCATTGAGCTCACAAGGTACCCAGTGGCCATAAGTAAACTGTTGCAGCTAAACCAGGCCCGATGTGGCTGTTCCTTCCACCTGCAGCAGATGTAAGATGTAGCTCTTCTGTGCCACACCAACCATTTTGGTATTCACATTCCTTTGGGGTGAGTGTGTGCTCACATGGATGACTTGGTCCAGAGCCTGAGGCTGTGGGGTAACTGGATCTCAAAGGTCTGTCTGGGGTGTGGAATCTGGAATCCTAAAGCTTCTCTTACTGTACATTAATACTACCCACATCTAAAATCCCACTTCAGCATTGGTTGCTTACAGGGTAAATATTAGGGACTTCTACTAAAAGGAAATGCAGCTATTAATTATATAGGTTACTAAATAATGCTCTGTTAATACTTTGCTAAAAGAGGTTTTACTACTTAATTGGGATTTTTATTCTCTTTCAACACTGCAGTCTGCCAGGCTGTTTACACAGTGTTCAGTCAGCTCTGTGTGTGCCCCCCAGTGTCTTTAAAAAGCACCAAAGAGGGCAAGGGAGGAAAAACTGATCCATGGTTTGGATAACTTTAACCTTGCATAACTTTAATGAAGTGTCTCTAATGTGAAGCTGATTTGTTACATGGACATGTATTCATGGACCCTGTCCACTGAGCTTGCCATGAATTGTTTCAAAATGCTTATTCTTGAAAAAGAAAGCTGCCCAGTAAGTAAGTTGCTTTCTTTATGTTCCCAAATATTGAGGTGATTGCAGAATTTTGTGTTCATGCAGGTGCTGAGCTCCAGCCAGCCAAGAAATGGACCCCTTGGTATACTGGGGAGCAATCTTAGTGTGGAGCAGCAGAAATTGCTGAACAAATTAGCAGCAGTCCTGAAGGCCCAGAGGTGCACTGAATTTAACAGCAGAGGTAAGGAATCCTCTTGAAATGTCTCTGTTCAAATATAAGTAACTGCAGTCCTGCACTTTATGGTTGAAGGTAATGCCTGCAAGAGGCTTTTTCTCACTGCTGGGAAGGGCAGTTTCTGAAAGCCCTGAGCTGTAGCTGCACTGGAGTGATGCTGTGTTTTGCATGCAAACACATAATAGAGCTTGTGTGGCTATCAGGGCAGGAGGCTTCAGGGGGAGCCACAGTTTGGCAGTTTATTGTCTGTTATTTACAATCCCAGAGTCTCCTCAGAGGCCTCTTCTCTTTACACCCCTTTTACCAACTTTAAGGTCTCTGCTTGTGAGACACCCTGTAAAGTTTTTACTCTCCAGAAGTGAGCCTCGAGAGAAGGGCATGGCATTGACTGAAAGTTTACATATCTTCTCACATGCTGCCTTCCTTCAGATTTTGTTCATTATGACTGGTGAACCCAAATTATGGGTTTAGTAGAGTTCTTTTCCTCTCATTGAGGACAGCAATATTTAATTAATCTTTAATCCCTCCTGTTTTTCTTTGGAGTGCTTGTGAACAAAATGTTAAGATAATTTCCCCCACCATCTTTGACTTCTGGATTACTATTCCAGAATGTTGAGTGGAGTTCTGTTAGCTTTGTATTAAAGCAGTGAGATCCCTCAGTAAGATTCCTGTCAGAGTTAAATATAACTCTAAAAGGATTGAAAAAAAAATGCTGTCCTATAAACTGGAGCCTCATCTGAAGATTTAAGTGTTAGTGTAGAACTATAAAACCATGAGTTCCCTTTTTCACAGCAAGTGTATGTTAAAACCCACAAAATTTCTAATAGCTCTCCTACTAACTCAGATCACAGTCTCAAAAATCACCTCCTTGTGCTGGAAAGAGTGGCTGATAAATTATTATAGTCTGCTTATTCTTTAAATAATGACTGATTGCTTTTCAGCCAGGCATGGTTCTGATTTTTCTGTGCTTTTAGTTTTACTGGTGTAATCTCTCTCCTAGTAACTCACCTCGTTATCCCTGATGTTCCAATGCCAACCACTGTCAAGTGCATGATGGCTGTTCTGGCTGGATGTTGGGTCCTCAAGTTTGAATGTAAGTATTAAAGATGTGGCACTCCTTGGGGCTTTTAAGCAGAAATTGTAGATGGAATTCCAAAGAAACTTTTATTTTTCAACAATATCAATATCAGTGCTATCTTTACACAAAGTGCAAGGCATTGTTTTAATTCTCAGGAATGACTAGAAATGAAATTGAATATATTTGATTAAATATAATTACTACTTCCCTGGTAAGAGTGCATTTCATCATTAGGTGAGTTGGATAGATCACAGCCTAAGTATCAGTGGGGAGTGAATTTTTTCATTGCTGCATTAAGACTGATTTGGAACATTATGCAAGATACCCTGGGAGAGAAGGAAGGGTTTTATTGAATTCTAGGATTTGTTATGAGCAGTTTGCATTGAAATTGAGAGGAGACTTTGGCTTGCTTGGGATTTGTGCTCAAGGCCTGTGGGCAGTGAGCTTCTGTTCACACACAAGCTCAGATCTGTTGGAGGTTGGAACTTCTATCCCAAGTTAGCATGGAAGTCATGTTTCATGCAGTCTGTAATTTGTGTTTGTACAGTGCATGCTTTTCTATACAGCTGTTCTGTGGACTTACACCCTAAATTTTGAGTTTATTTATTTATTCTGATGTATTTCTTAATATCGGCTTTCACAGTAGTTGCCAAACCCATCTTCTTCCCCTTGACCTTTATGGCTAAGTCCCTTTAGCTAATAAGGACACTACAAATGAGTTAATTACCCATGGAAAACTTATAGACAGATTTCATTCCAGTTTTCTACTGTGTGACTAAATGTCAGAGCATAAGGATTCTTTAATGGCCTGGACACGAATGTTTGTGAAAACACCGTGCAAAGCCTCAGAAGCTGCAAACTCAAGCACAGCATCAGGTTGGACCCTGGACTCAGGGTGTTCATTTGGCTTCCTCACAGTTTGTTCCATGCTTTTTTTTTTTTTTTTTCAAGACTGAAAACCCTGTTTCTGTGGTGAATCCCTTGGCAGATCCTTGCCTTCACTCAGCCCAGAAGGTTTGCATACATTCTATACTGTGTGTTTCCTTTATTTCATTTCATTTCATTTCATCTTCCTGCTACTCAGATGCTTAGAGAACTTCTGAATGATGGGGAGATTTCATTAGTAAGACCTGAATTTAAAGAACTTTCATATTCAGAAGTGATTGGAAAAGAAAAAAAAAAATATTATATAGTCCAGGGGTTATTCAGGGAGTATTTTTGTGGGTTTTTTTCACAGTTGAGTTTTTATTTTATGTTGTTGGTACTGATTAATACAATCCTGGCTGCTAATGCTCCCAGCTTAGTAAGCAACATACTACTTAAAAGCAAGTGATTCTCCTCCCTAGTGGGAAATGTTAGCAATAACTCATGGGGTCTGATGCAGCTAAGTGCCTATAATTAACAGCACCACTCCATCTGTTCCCACCAGTCTGTTATCAGTCTTCTTCAGAGTCATTACAAGTTAAAGATTGTTATAACAAATAATGGGACTCCTGCTGATGGAACATTTGTCTAGGAAAAAGAGGTCCTTGCTTTTCCTTTTCATTTCCATTTATCGTGCCTTTTTGACTTCTATTTGGATAAGTTTCCTTAAATGTGATGCAAATCAAATTCCAAGAGTATGTGCATTTCCTGGTTATATAATAAATATAAGTTGTTGTTTATGGTTCACTGTTCTAAGCTATTCCCTTAAAGTGAATTCATGTTGAAAAAATTCACTAAAATATTTGAAAAAACAAAGCTCACTGAGGCACTTAATGAAATGCTGACTATGCATAAGGGAGTGTTTGAATTTTTTTTTACTACCAGGTAAGCTGCATTTGACTGCTATCCCTAAAATTATATTTATAGCTTACACATTATACCTCTTCTTAAAAAACATCAGAAGCTTGCAAAACAGTATTTTATTTGAGAGTCTCTTTATGTTAACTCTTGTGTTACAGCAGTAACATAAAAAGCAGTGATTCTGTGATACTCCTGTTTCCATGTGTCCATGCACACAGATCCAGCATCCATTCACGTTGCTAGAGAGGTAATGTGGAATATTCCAGCAGGGTTTGAGCTGTTGGAGAGCCAAGATCTAAGTATGTATCCCCAGTTTTTGTCTTCAGAGGGGAGATTAAAATGAAAGGATGTCACCACTGAGCAATATTAGATTTTGACAGAAGAACAATTTGATGTTACCACTTGCTTTCCCACCTTTTCTGTACACAGCACACTGTCAGCAGTGCATCCACTTGCAAGGCAGCACAGAATTGAATTGAGGCAGTGTTGCCACAGTGCTCCTTGCCCTTGGCCATATCTTTCACTGGTTTCATTATTTTATTGCCTTTATTATTTCAGGGATGGTAATAGGGCACAAAGTGGCCAGTCATTATCCTTCTGCAAGTGGGCTGAGACAAAGATTCAAGCAGCACTGTATTTCCTCTAAGCTTCATGTGCAGCATAGAACAGTGTAATTAAAACCAGCAGAAGTCTTTAATAGCTTTTCAGCTTGTTTTTTTTTTTCTTTAAGTTATTGTCATCTGTTAAAGCAGGGAATGAAAAATGATCTCAGTAATGATATGCATTGAAACAAGCTTGTGTCAGTCCTGGCAGAATTCTAAGCATCTGATTGCTCATTCCTTCCCCTGCTTTGCTTACCTGGAAGCAGCAGCAGTGATTTAGTTCTGATCATTATAAGGAGGCAGAAAAAACTGCTTTTCCTGTAAGGACTCACAACAGCAGGGAGTTGACTGGAAGAGCTAGGGGACTGCATGACTGACATTTCAAGGTGAAAACATCTTTCTGAATTTTCTATGCCCATCCTTGTTTAGGCTGTTAGAGCACAAGAGTGCAAAGCTGCTTGAGCTGACTGCTCCTCAGGCTGGACTGTCCCTCTTTCATGCAAAACCATCTTTTAGGTGACTGGCTGATTCTCAGCAAAGCCCTTCCTCCTTGAAACACCCAAAACTTTTGATCACTGGAGTTTCATGCTCTTTCTGTACTTGGAAACTTCCTTCAGCAGCCTCCTCCAAAAGGACTCCTAGCTCTGAGAGGCTTTAGAACTCTCCCAAGTGCAAGTTTTGGTTGTATGGGGTGTGCAGCTGAGGGCAGTGCTTCAAACCAGCAGGGGCTGAACTTCTGCACTCCCTCAGTGCCTGCACCTTTTTACACTGTGAAGCTGCTGGGGTTTGCAGAGGAGAAAATGGGAGTGAGAATATCTTCAGTGTGGTGTCTGCAGAGATTGAAGGTGGGTTGGTTTGAAATAAGGTCTAGAAGAAAAAGAAACTTTGGTGTTTCCAAAGCTCCCTCTGTTCTGTGCCATCCAGGTACTCAGTTTTCCATATTTGTGGAGTTCTTTGTTGTAGCTGGCTTCTGGTTTGAAGAAAACATGGCATTAAGGAAGATGATAGGAAATACAACCTCACTCATTAAAGAGCCTGTGTCAGGCTTTTGAATGAGTGAGGTTGTATTTCCTATGGAAATACGGAAAGATGGAATCCAGAGGATGAACACTCCTGGGGGAATTTAAATTTAACCTGACCTTAGGAAAGGCTACCTCCAGTCACTTTGATCACTAAAAACAGCTGTGGCCAGCAGTGTTTCTTTCCAAAGCAGATAGAACTCCTGGGGCTCCAAGTGAAGGAATAATTTTAAAATCACATGCTCCCAGCTGCTGGGAATGTTTCAGGAATGCTTCCTAAGCACCTGTTCCAAGCTGTTCAATAAATACCACCTGGATTCACTTGCAAGCTACCATTCTTAAGCAGATGCACTTCAGTCTCTGCAGATCCCGTGTCATTTGCATGTGATGAGCAAACAGACTGCTCTTGTTTCACCAGTGAGATCTCTACCTCACTCCATGGAAATCTGTGTGTCTGAAGTCAGTTTATGAGCATATAAGAGGCAGTGTGAAAATTCTTTGCTGTGGCAGAGGCCAATAATGGCTGTTTATGAAAACAAATTGAAGGCAGCCATGCCAGATTCCCCTAAAGCTTTCTCTCAATCCAGATTTCTAGGTAAAAAAAATCCCACCAGGCTTTACTCAATCTGCATGTAAGTTGTAAAACCTATTGCAGTCTGAGCTAAGGAAGTATCAGGTGCATTCTCTGCCGGATCTTGGATGTGTAGTATTTCATCTTCTTTGTTGCTATCATGTATTCCTAAATTACCTTTAGCCATTCTAAGAGATTTTTGGGACTAACCCCTGCTCTTTGCCTTATTAATGCAAATCCAACACAACTCCACTAAGGCTAATTGAGTTACTGAGAGATACCCTTGGGTATCTGTGGGTGATTACAACTTGTTCTTGGCAACCAGGTTTTTTTTTGTACTTCCTTCTCATCAAATTGTTTTTGCTGATGCAGTTAGTTTCATTACAAACCAATAAGACTTACATGAATAAGGATTAGAGGGCTCTGATGTTAAACTTTGCAAATAATGAGTTCTTTTATTTCCAGTGCTAGCAGCTGCACTTGTATCAAAAGTCAATTAGAGTGGGCACCCTGTTAACCTGCTTGCTCCTTAGATCTCAAAGGTGAGAAGGCAGGGGCAGCTGCTCAGTGAGGTAATCTGGATCAGTGCAGGTAGTGATGCTTTACTGATCTTGTTAGTGAGGGGAGAAAATGAGCAGTGCTCTGTGTGCCCAGTGTGGATGCATTAAGCTAAAACTTCTTCCTGCCATGTTTTCTATGGACTTCAGTGCAGGCTTGGGTTTTGCTAAAATTTGATACAAATGACCTTGTTTATACCTAAAACTTGCAGGTGTGACACCAGCTCTTTAGGAGGCTCTGGAGCTTGTGGTGCTCTGTATTTCCAGGGCAGAACTCTGCAGGACCCCTGTGCCCATGGGAGCTGGCCCCACAGTGGTGGTGTGTCAGGCCAGCTTTCTCCAGCAAGGCTTGCACACTGCCCTTGGCACTGCAGGGCAGCCCTGCTCTGCTCCATGAGCATGAAAATCCCACTTGCACTCAGACAAGCCTTGTCCTTCATGGGTGATGGATCCAGCTACTGAGGTTAAACTAAAGGGCCTTTAACACCTAGCTGTAATCATCACCCTCTTCTCTCCAAGAGCAAGGATAAACCTGAACAACCTCACACTTAGATGGTCCACAGCTCTTACTGGCTGTAGTGTTAAGGAGTAAATCAAGAATGGCTGAGACCCTGTGCGAGCTGGATAATCTGATGTTAGAACAGAGCTGATTGGATTTTTAGTCAGGCCTGCTGGTTAAGAATGCACAGGCTGTGAATATGTGGCAGAAAACAACACAAGCCTGATCTCTGCTTCCTCCTAAAATTACAGGTCTTATCAAAATCTAAGGTTTCCTTCCATTTTCAGAAATCTTCAGGGCTGTCCTTGTCCTTCTGAGATTCAGTCCTATTTTGAACATTTTTTGCATAAGTACCTAAGGTGTCCATCTCAGTTTCACAAGAGAGATGGCATCCTTGTCGTTTTTAAAATTATTTTAATAGCAATTTGTTTTTTCAGTCCATTCATGTGACCAGTGCCTTGGCATCAGGTTCTTGCTGGTGGCTCTTCAGTGTAGTGCTAGAGAAATGAGAGTCAGATCTCAGGAATTTGGGGAGTCAATTAAACATGGCTCCTGTTGGAAATCAAAGGGGCATTTTGACCTAAGTGATGTAAGGTCAAAAGAGCTTCTGGAAAAGTTCCTGTAAAAAGTAACAGACTGATATATCTGAGTTTTATCTCCTTTTCTATGTCCTAATCAGGATGATACTGAATTGGATGAAGACACCATTAAAAAGGAACTGTCTTGTTATCTAGCCATTTATACACGTTAGCAGTTTTAAAATTAATGCCTACTGAAGGAAACACCTGGGCTATACTGAATGGACTCAACACTCAGTTTTCACAGAAAATAAAATCTTAGCAGTAAAACAAAAAACAAACCCAAGAAAACCCCCAAAAACCTCAACAGGCTGTGGAAGGGTCTGCAGTGTGCTGTAACCTTCTCTCAAGTGAGATTGGATATTATTGTTTTTAGCACAAGATCATCTTGTGGTTGGTCCTGCAGTCTCCTGGAAGAAAGGTAAAACTTGTACATTCCTGCTGCTTCCAAGTGACACCATAACACAGGCAGAGCTGGTTGTTCTGTCTCTGAGAACCTCACTTGGGCTATTGCAGCCAACAGGATTCACTGCTCCTGAAAATGAACTGGAGATTTAGAGATCTAGAAGCAAGTTTTGTGTGGAGAGGGGGTAAAAAAGAACAGGAGAATAACATTTTCTTTAGACAAATTAATATGGAATTAGGTATAAAAATAGCTTGAGCCTTCTGTCATTTTATCTCATATATGAGAATGGGGGCATGTTTCCCTTTTGTTTCTTTTTTTGTTCTGATATTTGACTTCCTTAGTTCTTTAATACAAACTCTGTAGTATGCAGGAGTCACTGAGAAGAAAGGAGCCACTTGGCAACAAATCAGTGTGAACAAAATCTGCAGCTAAAGGCCATACTGGTCTCCATCACTTACATTATTTGCTTTCCTTCTTCTAGTCTGGAATTCTTCCTCCATGGATAAATAATCCTTGACTGTTCCCCTCATGTTGTAAGCATCTTTCTCAAAACCTGTGACATCCATGTGTCAGAGCAAGTTGTCCTTCTAGATCTTGTATGGAAAATATGTTCACTAATTGTAAATGTACTGGTTTTCCATCACCAGAAAAATCCCTGAGGGATTTTTTTGCTCCATGAAGGTATGTGTATGTAGACCTAGCTGTTGCCTCTTGAAGTGTATTTATACCAAAGGAAAATACTTGGGCACTGAGAGTTTATGCTCTTGGCTCTTTTTGCTATGTAGAAATCACATCCTTTGTGTCACAAACCTGTGAAGACACAGATCTGGCCTGTTTCTAGCTGGGAAAGACAAGTTGCAGTTAATGAGAATGCTGCTCATGCAGCCACGTGGCAGTTTGCATGTCTCCAGTTTCTGCAGGAAACAGATGTGTGCCTGGTGGTTCTTGTGGGCACAGGGAGAACAGGATACAGGTGGGTGGGTCTCTCTTGTGGCCCTCTTGGAGCATTGTCATCAGGTGTGACAAGGAACTCTGAGGCTTTCAGCTCCTGTGAAATGGGCTGATGTGTGTAGGCAACACAGACCTCACTGATTTTGCTTTCTGTGACATCAGCTGTCCGCTGACATGAGTCACTTCCCTGACTTCATTTGGTTTTTTTTTTCCAGGCAAGCAGCAGTTCAAAAAGACATTGTAGTCTTTTGTATTCATTCAATCTTTTATTACTTTTGTATCCCATTTGCTTCATTTACTGATGCTGGCACTGGATGCTCAATTTGTGATGCACTTATTGTATAAAAACCTCATCTCTGTAGTGAAAGTCCTTGAAATTGAGCTTTTGATGGTGGATTGAAATAAAACATGCTCTTAATGAATGGACAGTTCCATTCTAAAGATGAGATGAGAGTTCTCCCTTTATGGCAAGTGGCACCCATTAATATCTGTATTTCCTTGGAGGGAAAGAACAGCAGTGTCAGTTAGAGGCACATTGACACAGGAAGTCTTGTTGAATTGTGGCGATTTAAAATAAATAAATAAAATGTGAAATAGCTTTTAGATTTATTTCTGAGTTATGAGTACTGAAATTAAGTTATCAGTATTCATTGCTGTTATCAATAATGAATATGTAAGTTGCCTTTCTGGAAAATCCATGGCTAGGTTTGCCCTTCTAGTTCACGTTAATTTTCCTTGAAGGAATGAACAAGTGCAAATAATCAATCTGATACTTGCACAGGGAGGCAGATATTTGCTGCAGCATTCAGCCAGTTGCAATTTTCTGTAGGGGTTTATCTTTTTTGATGTAAGCACATTGAAGGGCTTCTACCTAAAATGTGAATTCCTGTTGCATTTTGTGAATTTGTATGAACTGACAGCAAATTACTGCGAGTTTCTTTCGAGATCTCTCCAGATTAGATATTCCTGTCCGTTGTCTTCTTACTGCCATGGCATCCAAGTGCCTTTGTCAGTGATATTTCTCTTCATAGCCTTGGGCTTTCTGTCTTTTTAGGGCCAACCCTCCACAGTTCTCTTTTGATTTGGTTCAGTTTATAGTTTTTATATACTGTAGGTTTCCTATTTTCCTGTGCAAAGAAGTTGCCTGAATTAGAAACACGGTGGAAGGAGTGAGGTGCTATAAAAGTTACAGCCTCGGCCACATTGTAAATCCTCGTGGAACCCTTTGCAAAATCAGCTTTGCAAACTTTTTCCTGGGTAATTCTTATTAATGGCTGCAATGTACATGCAGGCAAAATGTTCCATCCTTGAATGGGTGACCACAGCAATTCCTCTCCCCGGAGTGAGGTCAGGCAGTACATTTTATGGATGTTAGCAATGCATTACCATCAGTGCTTTCTCCATTGGAAAAAATAACTGCCCTTAAAACAAGGTAAAAACATGTTGACTCTAAAAGACAATCTCATTATGCAGCAGTGCTAACAGAAACGAATGCCACTGTTAAACCCCAGCATAAATCTCCAGTTTGTGCTGATCCTGGAGACCTTGAAATCCCATCTGATGTGTAATTTGAGGCCGTGGCTGCTCAGGAGCAGCTTTGTGCTTGCCTTGTAATTGCTCTTTATCAGGCAGTTGTGTCCATTCCAGAAGTGCCGTGCTGGCTGCACGCACTGCCTGCGAGCTCCCAGTGATCAGCAGTTTGACATTTGACATTAAGTGCTTGACCTTTGGAGGATAAGAGGAAGCACTAATAATTCCTGGTGTTTATAGCACTGATTTTAGTGGGATATTACTTCTCACCATCTCACTTGCATCTTGCAGGCACTGTTGTAAATGTTTTTGGGCTTTAAAAAGCAAATTGCTAAAGCACGCCAAATGTAATGTCTTGCATTGTAATAATTTTCTCTTAGACACGTTCTAGTCCCTAAAATGACATGCAAGCCTCTCTCAAAGCTTGGGGTGTCTAATTCTGCCTCCCTTTTGTGGTTTTTGCAGGGGTGCAAGCCTGCCTGCAGAGCTCAGCTCGAGAACAAGAGGAGGAGTACGAAGTGCAAGGTGGCCCCCGGCGCGGGCGGCTCAACAGGGAGCAGCTGGTGGGTTAAATTTAGTGCTCCACACAGCCTGGATTAATGACCTGGGGCTGGGCAGTTCTGCCCTGTGCCACACAGAGGTGCAGGGGATGTAAAACTTTAATGTGCTCTCGCACAGGAAATTTGATTGTGTGCAAGGTGATCCAGAGAGCCGTGAACACCCATAAAGCTGTCACTTTCCTCCATTAGTGGAGATGTTGCTGTAACCTTGTCAGGGGAACTCTGTGTTGCACTCTCTGTAGTATCACACCTGATGGGACAGGAGGTGATGTGCTTTGGTCTTCTCTGCTCAGCTTTAGAGCATAGTTCTGAAAGAAAAATGGTTTTATTACTATTTATTTCCATTTAGGACCTTTTTTACATTTAACTGGGTTCACTGCTGGTTGTTTGCTGGATTACACTGTAGGATTTACTAACTGCATTGTAACAGTAGCTGTAAATACTCCTAACTCATAGTTCAAACCCTGTTGTGCTGGAAAGTATTTAAACAGAAGCAAGAATTTACCACATAAACAAGTTTTCTTGGCTGCATTCATACCCTGAGAACCTTGCATGTTAAGTTACTGTTCTGCTTATAAATTGTAGGGGTTTAGTATGCTCTGCTTTTTCCTTTCCACTTTTTTGTTGTGAAGTCCTGTATTCATGCTTGTTTCTTTTTTCATCCACGCAGCTGCCTAAGTTATTTGATGGATGCTACTTCTATTTTATGGGACCTTTCAAACAGCAGCAGAAGAGTGAGCTGCTGGAGCTGGTGAAAGCAGCAGGTGGCCAGGTGCTGGTCAGGCAGCCCAAACCAGACAGTGACGTGACCCAGACCATCAACACCGTGTCCTACCACGCCGAGCCCACCTCTGACCAGAGGCTCTGCACACACTACGTCATCTATGACGCGGCTTCCAAGTTCCAGCCGCAGAAAATCCGCCAGGGCAAGGTGTGGATGGCCCCCTCCAGCTGGCTCATAGACTGTGTGATGGCATTTCAGCTCCTGCCTGTGAAGGGAATATCAAACAGCAGCAAGGATGTCAAATGGGCTCGGTCTGGGGCAGCTGGGAAGCTCTGACAGGCTGCTCTGAAGCTGGGATTTCTGGTTTGGATTCAGGAGAGCTTTGAGCGTTTCAGTGAGTTACTGAGTGACTGCTATGCTGGAACATACAATGGAGGAAAGGGTTGAAAAATGTGCCTTGGCTTATTTGATATGCTTTATTTTGACATTGAACTTAATAAATGCTTAATAAATAATCACTGACATTTCCTAACTGGGATTTTGCAAAATGAAACCTTTTGCTTTCTTGATTTGAACCAGCCCTTTGTGGGCAATTGAGCTTGACTCCATTTATGTTGTGTTTAGCATCCATTGATAAGGATCTGCTGTTTTCCCAGGCCAGAAATAGTATTTTTTTTTTTAAAAAAGGACTCAATGGATCTGAACCTGTGCAGACACGTCAGGTGACATTTATTATAACTTCTTACATTTGAATTCTTAGCATGGGATATTTACATCTGTAAATTCTTAGCATGGGATAAGTCTTGTGGAAATCAGAGTTAAATAAATGACATGAATTCATCTGGAAGCAGACACTTTTGAGAACACTGTATTTAAATATCTTGGTCTAAAATTTACTTAATTGTAACAAGGTTCATGCTTTACTCACTTCTGCCCTCATTCATGCTTGTAAACATGTAACTAGAATTCAGTTCTATTTTCTGAAGGCTTTTAAGCATGAGGTACTTATTTAATTATTATAGTAAATTTTTTGTAAATTTGGATAGTTGCTCTCATAAGAAAGAAAAAGAACAAAACAGTGATCACAAAAGAATTGCTTCCCTTTGCACCATTGTCCCTAAACAGCTGGCTACACTGGATGAATGTTTGATTATTTCCTATTTGTTACAATATTTCTTGTAATGGCTCTTAAGTTATTATCAAAATCTTGTGCCCTCACTCTGTGCTCCTATGTAATGTTTTGTATCTTAGCTTGTGAATTTGCAATTGAGAAATGGTGTCCTGGAATGATACACAATAAGAATGATGGTTGTGGGCTAGTACACAAGTTATGTGTGTTTGTTTTTGTATTGTTTGTAATATTGAAACTTTTTTGTGTGCAGTAAATTTGGAGCATCTGTTGCATGAGCTTGGCTGCAGAATAAGTGCATATCCCATACATATCTCAACAGGTAGATGAAAACACTTTTTTGTGAGCTCAGTACAGCTGTGAAGATGCTGTGTGACACCAAGAGCTGCTTTTGCAGAGGAGGAGAGCTGTTCTCTGTTTCCATTGCTGCTGGAGGGCCTGTGCCCTGCAGAACCATTAGAACACAGCAGGTAGAGCAGGTACAGTTTTCAATAGCATCTGCTAGATTGGAGTAGTTGGAGTATCTTAATCTTATCATTTATGTTAGACTGAGTCATTGCTGTTCACTAAAAGCAGGGCTCATTAGTAAGTGGAGCAGCCCATGGGATTAATGGGGTTTGGGGTTTTGTGCAGATCAACACTGGCAGAGAATGAGGTACCCAGTCAATGCTGTGTGGGCTTGGGCATTTGTCTTAACAGTTACAGCACATTTTACCTTGGCATTTCATAGCACATCAATACACCTAATGCAGCGTTCTTTGCAAAAGTAGCAGTGAATCTCTGCAAAATTCTTAGGAATGGAGCTTTTCTGCCCTGTGTCAGGAAGAAATTCGACCCATCAGTAATCCTGCTCTGTGTTCTAAAGTGGAGGCAGCACTTTGACAGATTTTAAGAGCTGTTGTTCTATGGCAGATGCAGAGAAACTCAAAAAATTGCCATGAACGTTTTGGGGTTTTTTAAGCCATGCCCTGAACCTCAGCCTTGTTGTGTTAGCAAGCAGTGTTTCTCTCCAGTCCCATTAAGAATCACCCCATATCACACTGAGGAGAGCCCCTTAGCCAGGATTAACTCTGGCCCATCTGCTCCAGGTCTCTGCAGGAACTCAGAGTGGTCAGCCCATGTGCAGGTAGCCCTGAAAAGCCTCACAGTAGCCTTTGATGCCAGAGCTCCAGCAGGTGCCAAACACTACTGAATGGAGCACTGCAAGTACACAACATTTAAGGTCAGTGACCCAGTAATTACACAGTAATTTGCTCTTTCTCATTGTTGGGAACAAAGGGATAGCACTTGATAAAAAAGCCCTGTAATTAGTATAGATCAAGTCCCTTCATCCATTGGGTGGAGTTTGGCTCCTGAAAGCAAGGCTCCCAACTCCTGAAGTGAGGTAAGGAGTGTGTAGGGATCATTTCTCACTGTCTCTTCTCATCTGAAACCCAGGGTGCACTAAAGGAAGGCAGGCTGAAAATGGAAAAGGGATTTCAGGAAGTGTGAGAGACTTCTGGTCCTGATGGCCATAGGAGCTTGGCTTAGAAGCAGTGAGTAAATGAGTTTATCAAAGAAAATCTATATTAGAGGTTAATGAAGAACTTCAGCTGTAACATGAATTTATAAGTTAATGTTCTGCTAACCTGCATATACTTAATGTGCACTCCTAATTGGGGCATTTCATAGAAATAGAGAATGGGTTGGGAGGAACCTTAAAGATCACCCAGTGATCATTACCTGACGTGAAGAGATAGAAGTTCAAGGCTTGCATTCAGGATTGCAGATATTTTTAATTGATATTGATCAGAAACACTGCATCACAGAAGGGCTTGGGCTGGAAGGGACCCCAGAGCTGATCTCATCCCACTCCCTGCCATGGGCAGGGACACTTCCACCATTCCAGGCTGCTCCAAGCCCCAGTGTCCAAGCTGGGTTTGAACACTTCCAGGGATCCAGGGGCAGCCACAGCCTCTCTGGCACCCTGTGCCAGAGCCTCAGCATCCTCACAGGCAAGTTCTTCCTCAGTTAATGATTTTCAAGCATCTTTTCTTGAAAATTATCTGCTTCTCTTAATTAGTTGATCTAGGACACCTGATAACACCTTCAATAGCAGTGTCTGGGGTTCAGTGACAACATCAGTTTAACACCCCTAATAGTTAACAGAAGATAACATTTTAAGTAAATGCTGTGAAATCTTTTTGAGAAGTGTTTCAATATTCCTGCAGATGGTTCAGGGAAACAACAGGCAACCAAGCAGAACCAAACAGCAGTAGCTGCTTTTGCTCTCAAATCAGAAATGGCTTATCTGGGAGGTGCTGTGGCTGTTTCTCACAGCCCTCCTGTAATGATAACAAGCATAGGAGTGTCCAAAGATAGAGATCTCTGTCAGCAAGTGCTTCACCCAGCTGGCACCTACACAGCCTTTAGGGGGATAAAGCCCCTTTCTTCTGCTCTGTGCCAAGCTGTGAGCTGAGGTTGAGCCTGACCCACCATGGTTATCCCTGATCAGCCTGGGCAAGGCTCACAGGAGGGAATTAATTCAATTAAGGGAGTAATTCTAGGCAGGGGATTGAAGCTGGTTCTATTTCCTCCATAGTTCCAGTGTCCTAAGACCAGGCTAGCTCTGGAGCAGTTATTTTGTGTGGCAGTGTTCCAGGAGAACTGCATCTTGGCTGGTGCAATCTCTGCATTCTGCTCAGGACATGGAAGCTGTGGCCTGGTGTAAAGCTGCGTGTTGGTGTGGGTTATCTGGGGGAAGTGAATAAAGCCAGGGATGCTCTGGTGCTCCTGTCTGTGCCTGCAGCTCCTGAGGGCTGCCGTGGCTGCTAGGGTGGCACAGGGCAGCAAGCAGCAGTTCCTCAGTGCCAGCCCTGCAGAGCTGACAGAGCTGCTGGGCAGGAGCACGCCTGGCCTGGCCTGTCCTTTGGCTGAGCTGCCAGCAAAGTCTGGGTAGCAGCATCTTGGCATCTTGAGGACAAGTCTGTGAAACACAGCAGAACAAAGCTTTCCCTTTTTCCTCTTTAGCCTATTCTGTCCTCCAGTGCTGGAAGATCACCTGCAAATGGGGCAGATGGGATGTCACATTAATTGGTATTAATCAGTTTGGCCCCATGTCCTTTTTCTGCCTTTACTTTGATAGAAAGGTTTGAATCTTTGATGTCTAAGGAGACTGCTTTGTGTTTAAAGAGCCAACAAAGCAGGCTTGAATACCAGCTTAAAAACAACAGCAAGGGGTCTTTGGACAGCTGGATAGTACTGCCTTGGAAATGGGCAGCAGTGTCTCACTGGAACAAATGAAGATTCAGTTGTTTTTAATAGCAGTGCAGCATGTTCTATCTTTTCAGACTTGTTTGATTTAAATTAATGGTAGTTTAACTAGTGTTAAATTGCCCTTAAAAGCAGAAGAACATTTTGTGTGTAATCAGATGGAAGAAGGGGAGGAAGCCTCCCCACCTTTATTTATTTTTTTCCTATGGAGAAGATGCACTTTGTGTGCTTCAATTTAATTCCCGGCAGGAGGGCTGGGCTGATGAAGGAGCAGAGAGCCGTCAGCTCCCGCTGCGTGTGTGAGACCCCGCTGTCATTCCCCGCTCCGAGATGCCGAGGGCCGCGGGGAGGCGGCGTCCCAGGGCTCGTGGTGCGGCAGGGTCGGGATTTCTGCCTCCAGCGGGTGGGGACAGCTCTGCTGCTCGCCTGGGAGGAGCTGCGGGGCAGCTCCGCCCTCGGCTGCCTTCCCGAGCCTGCCCTGCGTGTCCGGGGCTGTTCCAGAGGCAGGGATGCTCCTTCCCGGGAGGTGTGGGCTGTGCCTGCCCAGGGACACTCAGTGCAGCAGGGCAGGGCTCCCTTCTCAAGCCCTGCAGCACAGCAGGTACACAGTGACAGCAGGGTTAAATAGGGATTAAAAAACAGAACGTGAAGCAGCAGCTAAGCTGGCTGTCTTGCTCAGCTCGCTGGACTGATAAAAATGTACTTATTTCTACAGCTTCTGTGGGGCTGGGTTAATTTCCTGATAGTTTAGGGAACTGCTAATTCTCAGAAGAGCCAGACTCTTTGGGGGGGAGCAGGTGGGAGGTTGCTTCTTCTGGGGGCTCAGTTGCCATAGGAAGGCCTCTGAGCTGAGGTTTTTACATTGCCATCCACAGCTGTGTGCTTCCCAATCCCCTGAGGGGTTCCCAGTCTCTCTGCAGGGTTTGTGCTGGGTGCTGCTGGCAGCCTGGCCAGGGAAATGGTTCTTCCTGCTCTGCTGGAAGTGTCAGCTTTGAGCAGCTGGTGCCAGGAGAAGCCTAGAGCAGCTATACTTTGGGTCTAGCTGGAATTCGTGGTCTAGCAAAATTTAATTCTGCAGCACAAAGGATCTCAAGGAACATTTAAAAAAATTGTGAGCCTTTTAATTGAATTAAATATTAATATGGATAATGCAATCAATGCTTTATTGATTGCATTAGCCACAATAATGTTTAATTCAATAAGTCTGCGGTGCTGGATCTTTTTCCTTTGTGCAGCCAGGGAATGCCATATGCTCTGCCTGGCTGTGTCCCCCAGGCTTGTTCAGGAGAGCAGGAGGTGATGGGATTGGGAGAGGGCAAAGGAGCCAGGCTGTGCTGGGGGTTGAACTCCTTCATGTGCCCTCAGGTTGGCTGTGGAAAGCCAGGGTCACTGGCATGGCTGGATTCAAACCAGCTGCTCTTAGCAGCATGCATCTTTCCTAAAGCCCTCTTACAAACAATATTGTTATTAATGCCATACTGCCCCTGACCCCGTGTGCTCCTGGAGCCCCTGCCCAGTGCAGTGCCTCATTCCTGCCCTCAGCAGCTGAGCTCCAGCAGCTGTCTGTCAGAATGGGAAGATTTTCCACCCTCAGCTCACTAACGTGCTTCTGAAGAGGTGCCAGGTTCTGGTTTTAAACCCAGCCAAGCTTGAACAATTTTATCTGTGGTTGTAGGCAGAAGGCTTTTATTAAATTAAAGTCACAGTTTTGTTTCACTGCGAAATCAGAGGCAGATGTTCTCCCCAGCTCAGTCACTCACACTACAAGGTTTCTGGCCTCTGCTTCTTTGCTTGCTGTGTACCTGTTGCACAAGATGTGGTAAAAACATCTGGGAAGAGCCTGGAATAAACATCTAGGGCTTTTTCCAGTGATGTCTTTTAGAGTGTTTGCTGAAAGCACCCTTGACTCAGTAAGGAGGATGAAGGAGCTGCCCATACAGAACTGGCAGCTGCTGCAGTGCCTGGGGCTCAGAGTATCCTGTCCCTCCCTGGCCTTGGCTCCTGGAAGCTGCAGATGTGGTGTCCCAGCCATCAGCAGCACACCAGGCTTGCCCAGGGAGCTGGCTGGGTGTCTGTGCCTACCCTGCACCCTGGGCCAGCCTGGGACACTCAGGCTTTCACCAATCTCTGGGGCCCCTGAGGAGATTCTCACCCACAGGCAGAGGTCAGGATTTGATTTGGTC